TTTTTAGAAATTTTTTAACAATGATAAAGATTAATTTTTAAAAGGTGTAAAATTTTAGTTTGTCTTTTTTTCACATTAGATGATATTGTTTGCAACTCTCAAATGGTAATTTTTCATGTCTGTTTGTCTTTTTTATTAACCATTAAGAAATGAAAAAATTATTGCTAATAACATCCTTAAGATTAAATTAATGTGAGGAAAATTTTGGTATTCATTATTGTTTAGCTTTTTGTGTTTAAATCTAGTCATATTGCCCATCTTGCTTGTTAACCAACTTTCCAGGGTGTTTTCTTTTGAATGTGCAATTTGTTTAGATTCCTGGATAGGGAATGATCCTAGGACATTTCCTTGTCAACATACAATTTGTTTCAACTGTGTAAAAATATTATTGATTGTACTTGAAACAATAGTTCATAGGCTTTTTTTCTTTTTTGAAGACGTAAACACAGTTGATAGTGGTACTTGCTTCAAGGCATGATGTCTTTCAGAAATCTGCGAATAGAGAATATTTGTATGTAAGGATTGTAAGCATGTTTAAAAGTACTATCAAGAAACCATGCTTTAATTGAGGAAAGTTGAATTTGCCAATTTTATGCAAATAAAACAATGTGAAAACCATTTTCATTAATATCTTTTCTTAGAACTCTGTCATGTAAAAAGGTATGATTTAAGAAAAAGTTAATACCACCTGATTCTCTGGGATGATTTTTTCTTTTGGATAATTCACAATTTGCACACAGGATGTAACTTTTGGTAAATTTTCAGCATCTGTATAATTTATCAGAACCTCTTCTGCAATTCTTCTTCTGCTTAGTATCAAATTTTCTTTACTTTTGTTTTTTAAATCACTTCTTATCAACAGCTTTTTTTCATTATCCATATTTCCCAAATGTATGTGTGCTCTTTTACCTAAAGTAGAAGAACTTCCATTTTGATTAACACTAGCAGGACATCTTTGATTTTTATTTCTTCTGCTGTGAATCCATACAGTTCTCTTCTATGTTTTAAATTTTATATTGAAAGAAAAACCATTGTGAATCATAGTAAATCCTCTCCTTTCTGGCTACCATTTTCTATAACTTCAAATTTAGTGGAATTTAAAAATTTAATACTGGTTGGTATTGAAGGATTTTCAGTATCCATTTTCTGTCCATCATACAAATCATAATGAAATAGTATTTGATAATCATTTAGATTTTTGCTATCAATGACATTTTCTACAGTTTTATCAGCATGCTGTTGATCACATTTTTTAAAGAGTATGTACTTTCCTGCTAGGGTTGTAGGTAAGTACTGGTCCAAATAGAACCGAATTAGGAGTAAGCCACTTAAAGACAGATGTAGAATTGAAGGAGGATCAATATAGAACCAAAACCTAAGAATAATATAACTGTATTTTAAAGACCTGTTCACTAAGGGAGTTGATTCAGGACTGAATGCCTGTTACTGCCTACGCCCTGCTTTTATACAATTCCTTATCAAAATCCCTACTTGCTATCAAATTTATATGCAGGGATGGAGGGTAGAATTAGCTCTTTGCTGGCAAATCAATTAGATCTATACCATTCATTCTAAAGACCCTCATAGTAGGTCTTGCTGTGTGGCAGCATGCATTGTCTTGTTGAAAGCAAAAGAAACAGGTACAGCAGCAAACTTTATAATAATTTTAACAATTGTTTTCAAAATCCATCAATCTACTTAAATTCCTTATTTAGTTTAATCCGAATAACAAATCCCAAATTCTCTAGAGATTATCTAATAGTTCACAAAGACTCTGTTCAAGTTGACAGAAAGACTTTTATAATAATCTATTTTGAATAAATGTTATCAATTTAAACATTGCACCTTTATATTTGAAACATATAGCATCATTCTTGACACTTCATTCATTCATTCTATTTTCTTTTACCATTCACCTAGTTATAATTATTGATATTGGTCAGTTGTCAAATTATCAGCAAGTTGCTTAATCAGGAGCAGTACAGAGACATTTTGGGAAAGGGAAATTTTGAAAGGTTCATCTTTCCTCTCTAATTGGACACTAAACAACAAAACAAAACCTATTAGTGAACTTTGCTGAAAAGGTTATAAATTGATAGTTGAGTATTAAAAAAAAAACTGGATACTGATAAGAAGGTATATGTTTTACAGTCTGCCATAATAATTGAAGTGTTGTTTAGCAGTTGATTATTTCGAAAAATGTGAGTTGGCTATGATTTTTTGCTGGTTAATATAATCCCATTTAAACTGTGTGCTTTGTCAGCACTTTAAAGACAAAAGAGCAATTCTTAGTTTTTTAATAGTTTTTTTAACATCAAATAGATAATTGTACATTGTTCAAAATTTGACACAAGATGCCATAAGTTTCTATAGAATACTTCAAGAATTCCTATTGTTTGAGTAGAATTTGACAGTTTTGCTCCTTTCAATCTGAATTATAAATCTAATTGTAGTAATAATAATAAATTAGGCCTAAAGTTAAAAATGTTAAAAATATTACAAAATCTTTATTAGTATCTATAAAGTTCCTTTTGAGTATCTCTTTATAAAAGACTTTGGTAATCTTTGGAATGATGCCAAATTGTTTATCATTTCCTATATTACTGTATTATACTTCCTTTTTCTAATCTTAATCTAATATAGGCCTACGTGAGAACTATTGTACAAAAAAGCAACTTGAAGGAGGTATTGATTTTCAAGATAGAACTGAAAGACTGTAAACCAGATTTGTATTTCAGCTAAAAGAAATAGTTGCTTCCTTATCCACCCGACTGGTGTGTACTGCAAACTGAAATAATTCTATTTATAGATGCTTAAAATTGTAAGAAATATGAATGAGTTTATGGGTGATTGATTATTGCGGATATAGTCCATAACAGTAAAACAAGTGTGTGTTTTGGACAGGCGTTGCCCTGAAATGATAAGACGCTCGTAAGATGGACAATAACTTCATTTAAAAAACAATAAAAAAGCCAGCAGTAAGACTCCAAATGGAAAATACTAAAACTGGAGTGGTGTTTCTATTGAATCATTTCCAAAAAATTCAAATCAATTATTTAAAAATAGACCATTCAATCATAACTTTTGTTTGTTATAGAAACGTCTCTAAATAGGGATAAAATCAGTTTCAAAAGATGGCCAATCATAATTTTTCATTAGCAGATTTTGATCTTAAATCTTGTTGTTTAAAAGGAAGGGGTTGTTCTAAAATTGACGTATTTCAAAATAATATTTTTTATCGGATATAGGCCTACTTTATGCAATTTTTTTTCCATTTTTTAGGGTAAAAGCATAATTTTGTGGATTTTTTTTCTTGTATCCATAGTAGGTTGCAAATAACATAATAATAATTACTATAATAAGTAAAAAACATATTATACGATTTTAAGTCATGTGACTGTAGACTAAGAAATAGGAGGAATGACACAGTGAGAACAATATTTAGCATTTGAAATTGGGGTTTAGATAAAACTTAAAACTTGTAATCTTCCTCAGTAATAAGCCTCTCAGCTTATCTATTCAGACATTTTTAGTAAATGTTTATGTCATTTCAAGTAAACACTTTTTTCAATCTTTCAGGACAGACAGAAAACGTTTTCAAATATGTGATTTTACACTAACTGTAACCCAGCCCTTATCACTTCTTAACCATATTCATTACAGCCTACCCTTAGATGGGTTGCCCTTAAGTATGAATGAATAGCTGTCTCATTCTTCCTATTATATATTTTGGGGCCGACAGAAAACGTCCCCAATGAAATTTTTGAAAGCAACATTTCCTAACCTAAGGGTTAGGAGCAATCAAAAAGGTTAAGGAGAGACAAGGGCTAGGTTAGGGTTAGGATTAAACCATGCATTTGGGGACATTTTCTGTTGTATTCAGCAATAAATCTTACAGAATGTTCATATATATTGTTATTTGGAGGATAAAATCTTAAGCTAATATATTTTGTTTATTAGTATATATACTTTCAATCTAAGTGTATGTCAGCATAAAATCAAATTTTGACTGAAAGGCATAAATTATAAAGGTAACTTTGTTTTTTTGTTAAATATAGAATAACTACACTTTATTTCATTTATTTTTGAATTTCTGAAGGCATTTTATGAAAACTAAGAAGATCCATTTTACTAATGTAAAAATCATTGATTCTATATTACTTTGTGTCAAGAATTCTGACCTATACAATATTTTTAATACAAATTTATATCAATAATAAATTGAGTTTTTGTGTGAGTACAAGTAATGTTTGTATCAAGTCAGAGTATTTTTTGTTATTGAAACTAATAAAATTTTCTAGTACTATTAATTCAAACAATGAAAAATTCATATGTCTTTAGTTTCCTTATTGTTTTTGAGTAAACCATTTATATGTATATAAAGAATACCATTAATTGAGTATCATCAGTTTTTAGCAAAACAAAAAATGAAATTGTTTGTGAATACAAGTTACATTTTTGCTCTTTTGGAATTAAGTTTTGGTGGAAATATTTTCCCAATATATTCAAGTAAATATTTTGTGTTTTTTTTCCAGATAATAACACAAGACTTTTTCAAAAAATAAAAACAGATAGAAAACTTATAAATGTAGCTTCAAAACAAAATGGCGCATCATGTCAAGCTTCATCAGAACAAGGAAATTCATATTACTTTGCCTATGCTTGTGAAAATGCTTTAGAACCTATTTGGACAACCATTAATGATTGGGCTTCACATTGTAGTGGCACTGATTGTAATCAAAGCTGGATTCAAATCAATTTTAATAAATTATATAATATTTCTAAAATTTGTATTGTTCAAAGGATTGTAAAAGAGAAATTTCTTTCAAATTCAGTAGAAATTACACTTGGCAATCATGTTTCAATATACAGAACAAACACTTCAAAAATGTGTATTTTATTAGAAGAGGAAGTTGGTATCAATTTGTCCAGTATAAGATTGAGACCAGTGGGTCTTCAAAGTGATACCATGAATGTTGGTTTCAATTCTATATTTGCATATTCATATCATGAAGGTCAGCCAAAAATAATAATAATTTTATTAGGGATTTAAATTCTCTTATTTCTTCTCCAAAAAATAGAATCAATTGATAATAGTAATGGAGAAATGTTAACTAATATAGCTGCTTTTGAATTGGGAGCTACTTGTACATCTTCCAGTTCATTTAATAAGTATGAATGTGATAAAGGAATTAACAGAGAACTTCAAACGGAATGGGCCGCAATATGTCAAAGTGTATGCATTGATCAGTTTATAGATATTACTTTTCCATATCCAGCACAACCAAGGAAATATTGTTATATGAATAGGTAACAAAAAACTCTTGTTTCCCAAATTCTAATCAATTCTTAAAACTAAAGAATAATAGCTGCTCGATATGTAAAAGACTTGAAAATTGAATGGAGTTCTGGTTTCATTGACAATTTCAATAATCTAACAAAAATTATTAATTATCAATGCTTTAACTATAAACATGGATCAAATGATGAATCTTCTGTTAAAATCATAATTAAAGAAACCTATCAATCAATTAACATTGGATTTACTTTTTTTAAAGTTTTTGTGAAACGTAAAAAATTTCCATTTTTTTAAAAATTTTCTTTGATTTTGTTTGTTTTCTTCTAGAAATTTATGAAGATATTTACTACATTCAATTATCTAGTGATGTTGTCTATCAACTATACGATAGTTTTCAATATATCAAATTCAAGGTTAAAGGTCAAGCTTTTGGTATACCTAATGAGTGTTCATCATTGGTTATTAGTTTCAAGAGTAAATTCAAGAAAGAATTTTCATTAAAGTTCGATTCTGTGGTTACTGGCGAAGAAAGATCTTCAATTGAAATTTACCATAATGGTACACAAACTGTTGAGGAGTTAAGTGAAACAAACTCACTAATAAGTTGTGAAGTATGGAATGACTATTGGCTTAGAATTAAAGGTGATGAAATCAAATTTGGCTCAGGTAGTTTCTATAATAAAAATTTATTAGCAAAATTAAAATTGCCTAAATCATTGGAAATTGAGCAAATATTGTTCAGAAATAATTTAGGAAGTGACATAGTTAATATGATTCAAATCACAGAAAAAAGTATGTGTAATTCAAATTTTAAACTATTTCTACAATTGCTACTACTTCTTTGCAGGTTATACATCATGTGGATCCCACTACAAGGAAGATATGAATAAATTTCTAACTACTTATTCAAGAATAGATTCAGTTAGGCCTAAAGTTTTTAATAAATTTCCGGTTGCTTGTACAAAAATATATTCACAGGGAGTATCATTTGACCATAAACTTTTTAATAAAACAGAAATGTTAATAAACAGCTCAAATTTTTTAATAACATTTAAAAAGGATAGTGATTTAAATGGTAATCTTTATTCTTATATTAGTTATAAAATGATAAACAATGGAAATGAACAGTTATGTCTACTTGAAAAACAGAATCTAACAGATT